AGACACTGCTTAAAAAAAATCAGTGCAAATAATAGTTACACAAAAATGCCTTATACTCCCCAATCTCCTCCACACCTAGTCTCCATCTACACATCATGCAGGATAAAATAATCCCACACGGCTGACATTTTCCCCGCTATCTTCCAATTCACCTGTTTTAATGGTTAGGCCGGGAGACGGACCCAAAAAGACCTGTGGGTGTGTTGAAGGTGTTCTGGAAAATACGGACCGGATTCGGGGAACACTGGCGCAAAATAGTGGAATCGATCGTTTCAAGCGGCGAAACTGGAAAATACGGACCGGATTATTATTTTTTTTAACTGGATTGGCAGTCTGGATCGGCATTTTTACATGCTTTGCCGATACGCATTTTTTTGCCAATATCGGCGTCTGATCCGATACATGGATCGGATCGGGACAAGCCTACTAAACACCACTGAAAATTAGCCCAAATAAACCAATAAAAGGGGAAGAGGCGTTTAAAAGTCCTTTCAAGTCTGAGGGATGTTCAAAGTTTAAGGCTTAATACATTTGAAAGACCCCCAGGGGGTCTGGCATGCTCTGGGTCGCTTCAGCTGAAAGGAACAGAGGGGTGACTAACGATGCGCCCTCTACAACGTGTCCAGCATGAGGTAGCTGGGAGCTAACCATGCTAGCCACTCCACTGCAGCAGCGTCTTTACACCCAGGTGGCTCGTTCAGTCTGCAGTGAGCGTTAGCATTCATCTAAACTCTTAAAACCATCAGCAGTTGAATCAGAACGCTTATTTCAAATTAAAAGACAAACACGACTATCTGTTCTACCTGGTTCACCCAAGCAGAGCGCCTATTAAGCATAAGATGGAAAGATGAAGGATGATGGTACTGCTTTGGGTCTGTTCGGCTTTCTGCAGTCCAGACTGTCCATCCAACAGCAGCCTGGAACGTTCCCTTCTAGCTACGGACGCAGCAGTGACCACAGCGAACTCTCTGAGCAGATAGAACGGCCTGCAGTTAAACCATGTCTGGAGAGCAGAAGCTGGAGACCAAACTAGCATTTTTACACCAGTGGTTATTGATAGAAACACACAGACCCCCCCTCCTCTGATCCTGCCGCTGAGTTCGGCGTTCCTAACAGCATGGTGTAAAGTTAGCCCTCCAGGCTAACAGCATGAATGAAGCCGTGACTCGGTCAGGACGATGCTGCAGCGGTCGCGTCTCCTTTTTTTTAGAGACACAGATTTAAATGTAGGATATTTCTTGATAAACTGATCACATTGATGAAGCCTTTAGATGGACTTTCTTTCTGAAAAATATCTTAAAGCTTATTTTGTTACAAACTTAAAGTGTGAAAAAAAAGTATGAATGCAGTTGTAGACTCATCTTCAGAGGTTACTGCTTCCGCTGGTGAAATACCGCCGACCCTGAACAAGCCCAGATGTACCGGGTCTGTATAGTTGGACCAAATCCTCCTTCCTCAGTTGTTTCCTCTGGTCCCTCACTTTACTTTTAAAAATATAATCATTTGAAAATGCAACCAGCTATTGGTCTCAATGGAAACGTCACCTGACAGAGAGCCATGTCATGCTGTTCAAGATGTATCTGACACATATGGAAAAGGATTAGGGCCACTGAAAAAATAAAAAAATAACAGATTTTTAAGTATTATTTCAGTTTAAAATGAGAAAAAAGTCAGAATTCTGACTTTAATCTCAGAATTCTGACTGTATTCTAGTTAATTATTTTTTCCATCATGATTTAGTCCCTTAACATTAGGCTTGTTTTTTTTCACAGCCTTCCAGGGTTTAGTTGAAAGCATCTGTTCAGCTGCAGGTTTTATTGGTAAAGTTAAACATTACAGTGACAGCGCCTGTAGCTACAGGTGCTGGTCATAAAATTAGAATATCATGAAAAAGTAGATTGATTTCAGTAATTCCATTTAAAAAGTGAAACTTGTATATTATATTCATACATTACATACAAACTCATATATTTCAGATGTTTATTTTGTTTAATTTTGATGATTACAAATGACAACAAATGAAAATCTCAAATTCATCATATCAGAAAATTAGAATATTACTGAAGACCAATAAAAACAAAGGATTTATAGAAATGTTGGCCAACTGAAAAGTATGAACATGAAAAGTATGAGCATGTACAGCACTCAGTATTTAGTTGGGCCTCCTTTGGCCTGTATTACTGCAGCAATGCGGCGTGGCATGGAGTCGATCAGTCTGTGGCACTGCTCAGGTGTTATGATAGCCCAGGTTGCTCTAATAGTGGCTTTTAGCTCTTCTGAATTGTTGGGTCTGGTGTATTGCATCTTCTTCTTCACAATACCCCATAGATTTTCTATGGGGTTAAGGTCAGGAGAGTTTGCTGGCCAATTAAGAACAGGGATACCATGGTCCTTCAACCAGGTACTGGTAGCTTTGGCACTGTGTGCAGGTGCCAAGTCCTGTTGGAAAATGAAATCTGCATCTCCAAAAAGTTGGTCAGCTGCAGGAAGCATGAAGTGCTCTAAAACTTCCTGGTATGTGGCTGCGTTGACCCTGGACCTCAGAAAACACAATGGACCAACACCAGCAGATGACATGGCACCCCAAACCATCACTGACTGTGGAAACTTTACACTGGACTTCAAGCAACGTGGATGAAGTGCCTCTCTTCTTTTCCTCCAGACTCTGGGACCTTGATTTCCAAAGGAAATGCAAAATTTACTTTCATCAGAGAACATGACTTTGGACCACTCACCAGCAGTCCAGTCCTGTTTCTCTTTAGCCCAGGCAAGACGCTTCTGACGCTGTCTGTGGTTCAAGAGTGGCTTGACACAAGGAATGCGACAGCAGAAACCCATGTCTTTCATACGTCTGTGTGTGGTGGTTCTTGAAGCACTCACTCCAGCTGCAGTCCACTCTTTGTGAATCTCCCCCACATTTTTGAAGGGGTTTTGTTTCACAATCCTCTCCAGGGTGCGGTTATCTCTCTTGCTTGTACACTTTTTTCGACCACATCTTTTCCTTCCCTTCGCCTCTCTATTAATGTGCTTGGACACTGAGCTCTGTGAACAGCCAGCCTCTTTAGCGATGACCTTTTGTGTCTTGCCCTCCTTGTGCAAGGTGTCGATGGTCGTCTTTTGGACAACTGTCAAGTCAGCAGTCTTCCCCATGATTGTGTAGCCTATAGAACTAGACTGAAAGACCATTTAAAGGCTTTTGCAGGTGGTTTGAGTTAATTAGCTGATTAGAGTGTGGCACCAGGGGCCATCAATTTTGAACCTTTTCACAATATTCTAATTTTCTGATATGATGAATTTGAGATTTTCATTTGTTGTCATTTGTAATCATCAAAATTAAACAAAATAAACATCTGAAATATATGAGTTTGTATGTAATGTATGAATATAATATACAAGTTTCACTTTTTAAATGGAATTACTGAAATCAATCTACTTTTTCATGATATTCTAATTTTATGACCAGCACCTGTAAAAGCTCATCTACTGATGCTGGTTTTTCCTTCAGTTTCATTACAATAGAACCAGAGTTAGCAGAACTTTCACCACTTAGTTTTTCAGGTTTTTCAAAGCTGCGAATAGTGCATGGAGGAATCAACATTTTTAGAGTTCAGACACAAACCAGCTGCACACCTGAACGTCCATCATAACGATCACCTGATTGTAAATGACAGACTCAGAAGGTCTGATATGAGTGATTGCTGGAACACTTTAGGCTGCTTTGACCTTTCGTGTAACTTTTAAGATCTGATCATTTTCTTCCAATGTCCAAGAAGAGTCCCCTACTGAGACTAATAGAGTCAACTTGGAAAGAATTAACAGGAAAAAAAAGGTATTGTTGAAAGAAAGCACTCAGACTCTGGGCTTGAAAACAAAACCATCTTTTTATTTCATCCGGTGGTTCTCAGCCAGCGCGGCACCACAGGCTTCAGCGAGGGTGACAGAGGACAGAATGGCAGTGGAAGCTTTCCTCTCAGAGGAAGGGAAGGGGCAGAGGGGGTAGGGGGTAACTGTGGTTGCGGGGTCTTGATTAAGATTTATGTCTACATTTGCTCTTTGCCAGCAGCCACTGCCTGCTGTTGGAGAAGCTTGCTCATGCAAGCCATTCCTTTGCTGTGATGATTGAAAGACTTTTCCTAAATGTGTTTTATGTCAAAGCATTTCCTTTCCTTTAGGGCCGTGTGTCTCACTCTCACTTTGAAAACTCTCAGACAGGATCAAGATATGCTGGAAGCAAAGACTCTAATAGGAATCTCTTATGCTTCAAAAGTATCTTTAATATCTGTAAGTGCAGCTCTGAGCACTCCGACCTGTAAAGCAGCCAGTGCTGTGAGGTTTATTGTTTTAGTCTTGCCTAAACGCACTAAGTCTGTCTTAAAGAAACTGCTTCTTCTTTTTTTAAAAACATTTAATCTGCTATCACTTGTTCATGGAAGAAGAACTACAACAAAAAATATATCTACTGCTCCAGTTCACATCCTGTCATCTGGGGTCGATTTATAGATCCAGATCAACCAGATCATCCAGTCAGATTGATTCAAAGTTTTTTTAAGGGAAACCAGCTGATTGCATCGACTCGTTGACTCTTCAGAACAGACCTTTGTTTAGCTAACAGCTAAACTGTTTAGTTTCTGTTGATAAGCAGCCGTAGACGACCGGCTTTAGAGTTGGTTAATTATTCACTTCCTTTGTTTATTTGGATCCATAAAGACACTGAAACGGATCAACAGTTCGATCATTAGTACTTCTTTAATATGTTTTTCCATAAGATGTGTAAATCATACTGCAAAATTATTGGACGTTTTATACCAACATGTCCTTAACATGTTTGGAGACGCATCCCCTGCCAATCTGTGCCAATTACTGCTAATAGTTAATAAAGGCATGACTGGAGAATGAATTTTCCTCAGATTATTTAGAACGTTTTGCTTTCATTCTGTTCAACCGTCCAACTTTAAGTGTGAAATATCAGAAAAGTATTGATGGTGTTTCTGTGTTTGCAGGACGAGCCCCCCGTACTGCTGTGCTGACCTGTACTCCTTAAGGACAGGTGAAATGGTTAAATCCATTCAGTTCAAGTCGCCCATCTATGATCTCCACTGCAACAAACAGTAGGTGTGATAAACGCGTTTCTGCTGTGTGACGGTTGCATCGTATTAACAGGCGGTTCCTCTCTCTGCAGTATTCTAGTGGTGAGCCTCCAGGAGAAGATTGCAGCCTTTGACAGCTGCACCTTTACCAAGAAGTTCTTTGTTACAAGTAAGCATGTTTTCCTGCCTGTCCGTCTATAATCAACACATTTCCTGGAGTTTTAACTGACAGCCAGATTGTTCATTCCAATCCAACCTCGGCCATTTAAATATACATTAGAAATGTTTGGCTTACATCATCCGACCATTTCAAAGGTCAGAGGTGCTTTAAGAGGCGGTGCTTGATGTGCTGAATGTGCTTTACAGTTTATTCCCCTTCACCTCTTCATCTAAAATAACTATTTACAGCATTAAAAAAAGAAAATAAGAGAACAGCGATGCTGCAATCCTATTTTTTTCTCTCATTAGCTTTTCTCCTAAAACTTGTTGCTTATTTTCCTGCTTTTGTAATTTTAATGTCAGATTCCAGATTTAATTCCTGAACTTTAAATCAGAATAAGTAAATAAATGTTTGTTGACCCATCATGTAACATGAACTGAAATGATATCATTCAGCAGTTCGATCATTAGTAATTCATTAATAGGTTTTTACTTAAGATGTGAAATTCATACTGCAAAATTATTATATCTAACACTGTAGTGCTGGTATTTATTCACCAACCACCTGTTCATTGCTTTATCTTAACTGTTATCCCCTACGGTTGAGAAATCTCAGAGTACAGTTGATGTTCTAGTTGTTGGAATTATAACTAATTCCAACATTTAAAAAAGGCTCATTAATTAAATAAGCTGCAGTTTAATCTTTTCTGGGATCAGATCAGAAACAACTGATTATTTCATTGAAATAAAGTCTCATTCTCCAGATTGTTCACTTATTGATAGTTTTAGGAATAAATGGAAATAATTCAGTTCTTTTTCCCGTTAAAAACTAAAGAACTCACTCTGTGGTGAAATTAAACAAAAGTGTGTAAAGTTTCACTCATTGGGTTTGGACTTAACTTTAAACAGTATAGATCTATTTTAATAAAACAGGTCTTCTTGACATGGAAAAACAAACATGAATAACGGAAATATAAAAGAATTGATGCATAATAGAACCTCCGCTCCGTTTTAGGGAGGATTTCTTCATATTGTTCTTTTAGGACGGATGAAGTCATTCAAACGTTAAACATTTAAAAAGTCTCATCAGCATCGTTTGCTTTGGTCATAAACGCTCCAAAGATGGACGAATAAAAAGGTCTGGAAATGTTTGGATGTCAGGCAACCTTCCATCGGACGACGACGACGATGATGATGATGATGATGATGATGATGGAGTCCTTCAGGTTGGTGCGACTGAGAGTCGGTCCCCGCTCTATAATCACCAAACTCCTTCCTGCCGAGCCTCAGCGCTGCCCGTTGATGCGTCCGTCTGATGGAAGCGCTCGCAGCACTCAGGCTCTGTCCTCCTGACATCATCAGGGACCTCACAGCCATACTGTTTACAGCATTACTCTTTTATCTTGTTTGCTGTACCTTCATGCTCTGCTTAAGGAGGCTGTGAAAGAAAGACCAGACTATTACAAGGCCATGGCTGTCCACTTAAGTCATTGACTGGAGTAAACTGACCTTACCGACGGGCTTTAATGTGTCTCCTGGTTGTCTGCCTGCCTTCCCTATCAGCGTCTGGGCAACAGGAAACCAAACAGGCTCAATAGTTATTAATCGTTTCTGAATGCAGAGCCTCTTTTCATAACGGCTCCATCAGAGCAGTAAACAAAGGACCCTGAGATGTTCTGGGATCTGCTTTGGATTAGCCTTTCTGTGTCATGGTTCCTGAGAGCCGGCTTCAGGTTAGCCGCGTCACTCAGCAGCTGACCCAGGAATCAGGCCTCGCCTTTCTACCTTTATCCTTACTTCAACTCTCTGGACGAGGACCACTTCTGCTTTATCCTGCGGGTGTTAGGAGAGGGTGGGAAGGAGCAGCTCCCTGCCGGGTTTTTTTAGACTTGAGTCAGACCTGACCTGGGGAGCCTCAGGTCTCCAGCTTAACAGTCCAGATTTAGAACCAGAGCTTCACATGTAGCCATGTTCAAAGCTAAACTCTGCTCCTTCATTGAAGGAGAGGAATCCTAGAAAATTCCTGAAGCAACCTTCTGCTTCCCCTCAGCTGCCTGTGTGCGTCCGCTCACCGACCTCCTGCTCTGGACCGTTCATTTCTCTCCTCTATCTAAAGATGAGGAGCGGCGACGGATGGATGGTGGTGCAGAATTAACCGGCTCCACCTGACGGGCAGCAGTGAAGGCCTCCTCTGAATGCGCTTTAGGAAACATTCTGGAATCAGCTTTCTATCCCTGATGCTGAACGATGTGGTTTAAGGTGTTGATGGCGGCTTTGCTGAGCCTCTTCTATCTTCTGCTAGCAAATCTTGGGTTTTAGGTTTGTTGTTCATGTGTCCTATGAAGCGCACTGTGATCTAAAGAATGACGCAACAAACCTGCAGATAAAAACAGTGAAACTTTAAGTAGACCATCCTTTCTGACAGGAGTCAGTGTCAGTGATCCTGCTCTAATCAAACTTCCAGGTTTTTCCGTTTTAATGAGCAGTGTTTGAGGATATCTTAGCACAGACAGTTGGTCACATGACCCATGCTCCTCTGGACCAATCAGAGGGCAGAGAAACATTATAAAGATCCACAAACACCAATAAACAGCAACTTTAGTTGTTTTTAGTTTGGAAGAGGTTCTGATGTAGAAGTAGAGCCTGTTTGCAGTAAGCATCTAGAAGCTCCTCTGATAGCAGAACAAGCTGTAGTTTGAGTGAATCTCCGTTTCCACCTGGTCTCCTCCTGCATGGTGCTGACTGAACCATAACCTGTGGATGACTCCGCTCTGCATACCTGATGAGCAGCGACTGCCTGCTTTCTGCCTGCTGCAGTCTGTTTATTGGCTGCCACAGACCCCATTAGGTCACGCAGAGACGTCACCCTCATTAAACTCCCATTTATCTTCCAAACCAACAGGCTGGACGCAAACACCCTAATGGAAGCGGATGCATGTTTATCCTCCATGGAGGAGCGTAATTTAGCTAAATGTTTTGATCCTGTTATTTTAATAAAGCGTGTGTGGTTGGTTCCTAGGCTGCTATCCGTGTCCTGGTCCCTGCCTGAATCCAATCGCTCTGGGAAGCCGCTGGCTGGCCTACGCTGAGAACAAGGTGGTCTGCACCCCCCCACCCCCCCACCCACACACACACAGAACACATTCATCTTGCAGCAGAATTGCCTTATCTCAGAGAAGCGACATATTTACCCTAAAAATAAAATGCTTTTTATCTGTTTTCTGCTTCTTTAATCTGTCTGGATAAACAACTCATTCCAAGAAGAGTCCACTACAGATGATAAGGTTTTTGAAAATCAACAGATGCGCAGGCATTTTCTGTTTAATGGGATTGTGGAGTATTTAGAAAAAACAGAATGTTCTGCAATACATTTAATGCATCACCATGTTTTGGTTCCGGCCACTCAAGTAATGGACAGATGGGACTGCCTGAGGATTTTCTCAATTGACAAACGTAGCTCTCTGAATTGTGGGCGGGGCTTATGCACTGAATTAAATCAGCAGAGATTAGCTGTTTGTTCTGCCTCCCTAACAAAACCACTTCAGTGGAGCCTTTGAGTGTCTGTACATTCATCAGCATGTTGCCTGAACTCTCTCTGTTTCTCTGTCTGTCAGTTAATAAGATGCCATCAGTCCCATGGAGGAGCCTGTGGTGACAACGCTCAGTCCTACGCCGCTACAGTCATCAATGCTGCCAAAGTAAGCACCTCTAGCCCTGCCGGCTGCACATGTCTGGTTCCTCTCCTGCCTTAGACCTGATCAGGGCTGTTAGCAGTAGGACAGAGCAGGAGGGCAGGCCGTTAGTCCCAGCAGGGCTCGGCATTATCAAAGGAATCAGGTAACAGAGCTCAGTAGCAGGAGAATAACCCAGGTAGCAGGCCCTGCTGCAGAGGCAACGATGCTTGGATTAAAAGGTTCATGCTACTGATGAAATGATCTTTGACACCAACCAGAACATCTGGTTCATCCTCAGAGCTCCGCCTCCTTCAATAGAGGAAAGTCTGTGATTAAGAACGAGCACCAAGAACCCGGTAACCATCAGAGGCTTTGAACTGATGACAGAATCTATGATCATTTCATAGCAATGAAATCTGTTCATCAAAAAATGTATTTCACTAAATTTAAATTAAATGTTTGAAAAACTAAATTAAATTCCTCTGAAAATGGAAAATATCCTTCCCCAACTAAGCAGGGTCCTCACACCGGGTCCTCACACCGGGTCCTTATGCCGGGTTCTTAGGGTCCTTACGCCGCATCCTTAGGGTCCTTAACGTCCTTAGGGTCCTTATGCCGGGTTCTTAGGGTCCTTAATGTTCTTAGGGTTCTTACGCCGGGTCCTTAGGGTCCTTAACGTCCTTAGGATCCTTACACCACGTCCTTAGGGTCCTTACGCCGCATCCTTAGGGTCCTTAACGTCCTTAGGGTCCTTATGCCGGGTTCTTAGGGTCCTTACGCCGCATCCTTAGGGTCCTTAACGTCCTTAGGGTCCTTAATGTTCTTAGGGTTCTTACGCCGGGTCCTTAGGGTCCTTACGCTGTGTCCTTAGGGTCCTTACGCTGCGTCCTTAGGGTCCTTACGCCGCATCCTTAGGGTCCTTAACGTCCTTAGGGTCCTTAATGTTCTTAGGGTTCTTACGCCGGGTCCTTAGGGTCCTTACGCTGTGTCCTTAGGGTCCTTACGCTGCGTCCTTAGGGTCCTTACGCCGCGTCCTTACGCCGGGTCCTTAAGCCTGGTCCTTATGCCGCATCCTTAGGGTCCTTATGCCGTGTCCTTACGCCGCGTCTTTATGACGCATCCTTACACCGGGGTCCTTATGCCGCATCCTTAGGGTCCTTATGCCGTGTCCTTACGCCGGGTCCTTATGCCGCATCCTTAGGGTCCTTACGCCGCGTCTTTAGGATCCTTACGCCGGGTCCTTACGCCACATCCTTACGCCGCGTCCTTACGCCGCGTCTTTATGCCGCATCCTTAGGGTCCTTATGCCGCGTCCTTAGGATCCGTACGCCATGTCCTTACGCCGCGTCCTTACGCCGCGTCTTTATGCCGCACCCTTATACCGGGTCCTTATGCCGCATCCTTAGGGTCCTAATGCCGCGTCCTTACGCCGGGTCCTTATGCCTGGTCCTTATGCCGCATCCTTAGGGTCCTTATGCCGCGTCCTTACGCCGCGTCTTTATGCCGCATCCTTACACCGGGGTCCTTATGCCGCATCCTTAGGGTCCTTATGCCGTGTCCTTACGCCGGGTCCTTATGCCGCATCCTTAGGGTCCTTACGCTGCGTCTTTAGGATCCTTACGCCGGGTCCTTACGCTGCGTCCTTACGCCGCGTCCTTACGCCGCGTCTTTATGCCGCATCCTTAGGGTCCTTATGCCGCGTCCTTAGGATCCGTACGCCATGTCCTTACGCCGCGTCTTTATGCCGCATCCTTATGCCGCGTCCTTATGCCACGTCCTTACGCCAGGTCCTTACGCCGTGTCCTTTTGCCCGGTCCTTACGCTGTGTCTTTATGCCCGGTCCTTGCGCCGTGTCTTTATGCCCGGTCCTTGCGCCGGGTCCTCATGCCGAGTTCTTACGTAGCGTCCTTAGGGCCAATTTATGCTTCTGATACATAGCCCCTGCAACCGTCAAATCTTTCTCTGTCTGCGACTATGCCCCCCGCGCCGAGGCTCTGCAACCGTCATCGCTCACCTCAAAAAAAATCCTGACTACGCGTTAGATGGTCGCAAACCTGCACAGACCTCAAGCCTAAGTGTGCAGACAAAAAGCAGCTGTGATTGGTCGGTATGCCTTTCCAGCTATCTGTGTGGTCGTCCTTCTCGATTCGGTGCCGGGGCACGCCATTTTAAAAACAGAGGAACAACTTATATGAACTACGAGGAAAGGTTAATCGGTCTTTTTGCCAACTCCATTAACAGAACCATTAGCCATCATCTCTTCTACATGATAACAGTTAATAAAATCAGCTCAGCTCATGTTCACTCCTCTGCTGAAGCTTTAAATGCCACAAAATGAGTTTAAAGGGGAACACCATTTTGTTTTTCCATTGGTCCCTTGATTTTCCGTTATTCCATCATGTTCTACTCTCCCACATGAGTTTAGTGTCATTTGGAGCCGTTCTGAAGATATTCCGTTAGGTTATATCCAAGTAACGTCTTCCTATGGGCAACGACTTGAAGGCACAAACTAAACTGTTCATCATTTATTCTTTATGGTACGCCAGCATTCAGAACATGGAGGCCAACCACTGTCCCCCAGACATCCGCCGTTAGATTTTTATATTTATATTTTTCTAAAAACGAAGCGGCGCGTGTATGACGTCAATCAACAGGTGAGTCCCCCAGTGCAGCCATGTTGGTTATACCTCAACAAGGCCTTCTGACTGTCATCAATCCTACATGTCCCGCCCCAAAAACACTGCTGGCATGTCATTGGTCCGACTCACAGGTTGGTACGAGACGGACGTTATTAGCGGGAGTCTTTCAAGATTGATTCGTTATGAGACTGAAAACTTGGATCTTGCGAGCATCCAGTTTAACAACTTTCAGATATTTATTGAAAAAGGAACATGAAAAATTGGCTGATTTTTCTTAGTTTCATCCCACAGAGGTCTGCGCAGTAAAGCAGACATGGAAACATCTGGAAGAACCAGATCTGGTGGTTCTTCACCTTTTCAGATGTTGTTTGGGAGGAGTCCTGTGGTACAGCCTTCTTTCTTTTCGGTGTTAGGCTGCGTTTGAACAGACCTTCTGCTGATGTTTTCATTTCTAGCTCAGCCTCCACCATCTGTAAATCTGCTTCTGGCTCTGAGCTTTAAGACACTTCATCAGCCTGTTTCTGGTCACCCTGTAATCTTCCTCTTTTCTCGGTTGTGTGCAGGGGAGTGGCTCTAAAGTAGCCCACCTCTGATCTCAGGTCAGATTCACTTCTGGCATAATTTAGTCATAGAGAGATGGATTATTTAATCTGTCAGTGGCGTTCAGAGCAGAGCAGTGGCATTAGGATGTTAGCAGTGGGGGCTACTGACATGAAGACAGGCTTCCTGCACACGCTCCCTCTCCTCATTTAGAGCCATATATCTCAATATGGATGACAAGGTATCTCCTCCTGGCTGGTGGCGCGACACGCTGGCTCTGTGCTGATGTCCAGAGACAGAGCCGCAAAGGGGGGAGGGGCGCATTAAGCTGTAATGGCTTTTGTTTATTAGAAAGGTGGACGAGGCCGTAGCTGTGTGTCCTGTAGGCGCCCAGTGCGACGAAGCTGCTGCCTCAGAGAGACCTGTGGCATAAATCAAATGGAAATGTGCTCAGATGGCGACATCAGGCTGAGTGCCGATGTGTTTTATGTCAACCCTCTGACTCAAATCGCCTCACCACCCCCCAAGCGAAATCAATAGCCCCTGTTTGGGCTACCACCAAGAACTGCAGTGATTAGAAAACACATTAGTGTTGATCAATTAGAGGCCAAATGCCTCCCTTAATAATTGATGGCGTTTCTTACATTTTACACCAGCAAATGCACCGAGGCAGCAGAGCCTGTTAGTGCGCCTGGCCAAGTGGCGAAGAGACAGTAGGTGATCCTCAGACCCAACAAGCTGCAGGCGCCATGCTGTATTGACAGGGCCGCCTGGCCTGAATGCTTGATTAGGCTCTCCAGGGCCCCTTTGGCGCTTACACACGCACAGACACCCAGTCACATGCATTGGACTCCATTAGACTAAGACAGTGTAGTACGTGAGATAGACTCCACTTAAGCAGCACTATCCATTTCCCTCAATTGAGCCACAGAGGTGTGTTTGAGGCAGACACCCTGGCTGGACCTTAAGCTGACACAGAGGAGCCTCTCTCACACACGCTGGAGTCTCCTGGGCTGCAGATAATCAGCACTACAAGTTATCAGCATGCGGGCGGCGCTGCACACTTCACTCAGACTGTACTGCTTTAAAAAACGTCTTTAGAACAGATTGATGCAGTCTGTTTGGGTTAATCTTTCAAAACTGAAGCATGTCCTCTGTTTGTTTCAGACGTTGAAAACAGGCCTCACCATGGTGGGCAAAGTGGTTACCCAGCTGGCCGGCACCATACCGGCAGGCACGCCCGACGAAGAGGGAACGCCCCACAGCACGGGTCGCCGCAGCCCCCATAGCCCCGGCGTGATCACCATCATCGACACAGATGACGTCGGTGAAGGACAGGTCAGTCTAACACCTTCCGTTGGGCCTGATGTAGAGCAGATCATCCATGGCCATGACGACTCAGTCTGCTTCCTCATGTCTACAGCGAGGAGATACGCTAGTCGCAAACATCCAGAGAAATCTTCATGATCTATATTAATTTTATGTGTAAAATACTGAATAGACAAATAAAGATAAAGAACATAGAATAGGCCTTTCATCTGATCATCAGCTCTACTTCCTCAGCTTCATCATCTTTCTTAACATTGGCTGCTTTCTCCTGAGATATTAGCTTTAGGCCATGACCCCATCAGCAGCCAGGACCCAATCCACAGCCATGACCACACCCACAGCCATGACCACACTCACAGCCATGACACCATCCATGGCCATGCCTCTGTTCGAATTCATGGGCTGCATCCTCCAAGTCTACCTAGTCTGGATCCTTCCAAGTCCGTGAAAATAAGGAGACCGGAAGAGTTTTGGCTGTGAATTCAAACAGGTCTACCCTCCGGCAGGTTTTACTGCCGTAGGCTCTGTTGTGTGTGTGTGTGTGTGTGTGTGTGTGTGTGTGTGTGTGTGTGTGTTGACAGACAAAGCAGGAAAAGAATAAATACCGAAGTTTTCAAAACTTTGTTTATTTATTTTTTATTGTAAAGTGAACAAAGACTACACTCACAAGAATCCAGAGTGGAATAAATGTTCCAACCACCGGGAGCAGGAACTAATCAAATCAAATGTAATGATAGAAACCTTAGTCAGTTAAATAACCTGCTGCTGTCATTCTGCACATCTCTGATGTTGCTGCTATTTTCAAATATCCATTACTGGAAAAATGTCCATAGCTGCATATTGGTTATTTATTCTCCAGTTTTATATTGTTAAAACACTTTACAGTATTGCATTTTTTATATTTTAACTCTTCCCTATTATGTTATTCTTAGACATTTTTCTAAGGTCCTCATTAGTGTGACCATTTTCAATAATCTTTCTGCTGCTGTAAATTTTCCGACTGTGGGACAATAAAGGGATTTTCTATTCTATTCTATAAAAGCGGTAGAAAGATATAAGTAAATCTAAACAATGTATGTATAAAATATGTATCTGTAAAAATCTCTAATATTCAACAACAAAAAATACGTAGTTAAGCATATTGTACAAAACAGCAATAAAAAAATTAAAATCCAATCAGATTTATATTCCCCACCTTGCAGATATATTAGAATCTGTCCTTAAATTCCAGCCAAACCCATTTACACAGTAACTGATAAAAACCTTTAGATAAATCAAACATTACCGCCACATATCTGACTCTATAACCATTAAAACAACTATTTTCATTCATCTCAGACGGAACTATTCACAGACTGGATTATATTAAACTGAACTTCCAATTTTCCCCACTGTTCTGCACCAAGCGCCCTTTCCTCTGATCACAAAGCAGCTGGCCTGCTTGGTCTCACAATGTCAGTATCCTGGGAAAACCAAGGATAGCGAGGATACATCGGACCCGTCCTTCAAATCGGGCAAAAAGAAGAACACATTTTAAGACTCCATGACGAGGAGTCTTTGAATCCGACCAGACCTCGGCGCCACACTGTGACCCAATCTTCCTTTAAATCTGGCCTTCTGAGAATTCGAACAGGGCCCATGACTCCATCCACAGCCATAACCCAATCACAGCCATGACCACCCCCACAGCCATGACGCCAATCACAGCCATGACCACCCCCACAGCCATGACTCCATCCACAGCCATGACCCCATCCACCGCCATGACCACAGCAACGACCACACCCACAGCCATGACTACGCCCACAGTGACGACCAAACCCACAGTCATGACCCCATCCACATCCACACCCACAGCTATGACCCCATCCACGACCACACCAACAGCCATGACTCCATCCACATCCATGACAACACCAACAGCCATGACTCCATCCACATCCATGACCACACCAACAGCCATGACCACACCAACAGCCATGACTCCATCCACATCCATGACCACACCAACAGCCATGACTCCATCCACATCCATGACCACACCAACAGCCATGACCACACCAACAGCCATGACTCCATCCACATCCATGACCACACCAACAGCCATGACCACACCAACAGCCATGACTCCATCCACATCCATGACCACACCAACAGCCATGACTCCATCCACATCCATGACCACACCAACAGCCATGACCACACCAACAGCCATGACCACACCAACAGCCATGACTCCATCCACATCCATGACCACACCAACAGCCATGACTCCATCCACATCCATGACCACACCAACAGCCATGACCACACCAACAGCCATGACCACACCAACAGCCATGACTCCATCCACATCCATGACCACACCAACAGCCATGACTCCATCCACATCCATGACCACACCAACAGCCATGACCCCATCCACAGCCATGACCACACCAACAGCCATGACCACACCAACAGCCATGACCACACCAACAGCCATGACTCCATCCACAGCCATGACCACACCAACAGCCATGACCACACCAACAGCCATGACCACACCAACAGCCATGACCACACCCACAGCCATGACCACACCCACAGCCATGACCACACCCACAGCCATGACCACACCAACAGCCATGACCACACCAACAGCCATGACTCCATCCACATCCATGACCACACCAACAGCCATGACCCCATCCACAGCCATGACCACACCAACAGCCATGACCACACCCACAGCCATGACCACACCCACAGCCATGACCACACCAACAGCCATGACCACACCAACAGCCATGACTCCATCCACAGCCATGACTCCATCCACAGCCATGACCCCATCCACAGCCATGACCCCATCCACAGCCATGACTCCATCCACATCCATGACCACACCAACAGCCATGACCACACCAACAGCCATGACCACACCAACAGCCATGACTCCATCCACAGCCATGACCACACCAACAGCCATGACCACACCAACAGCCATGACCACACCAACAGCCATGACCACACCCACAGCCATGACCACACCCACAGCCATGACCACACCAACAGCCATGACCACACCAACAGCCATGACTCCATCCACATCCATGACCACACCAACAGCCATGACCCCATCCACAGCCATGACCACACCAACAGCCATGACCACACCCACAGCCATGACCACACCCACAGCCATGACCACACCAACAGCCATGACCACACCAACAGCCATGACTCCATCCACAGCCATGACTCCATCCACAGCCATGACCCCATCCACAGCCATGACCCCATCCACAGCCATAACCCCATCCACAGCCATAACCCCATCCACAGCCATGACCCCATCCACAGCCATGACCCCATCCACAGCCATGACCCCATCCACAGCCATGACCCCATCCACAGCCATGACCCCATCCACAGCCATGACCCCATCCACAGCCGTGACCCCATCCACAGCCATGACCCCATCCACAGCCATGACCCCATCCACAGCCATGACCCCATCCACAGCCATGACCCCATCCACAGCCATAACCCCATCCACAGCCATGACCCCATCCACAGCCATGACCCCATCCACAGCCATAACCCCACCCACAGCCATGACCACACCCACAGCCATGACCACACCAACAGCCATGACTCCATCCACATCCATGACCCCATCCACAGCCATGACCACACCAACAGCCATGACTCCATCCACATCCATGACCGCACCAACAGCCATGACCCCATCCACAGCCATGACCACACCAACAGCCATGACCACACCAACAGCCATGACCACACCAACAGCTATGACCACACCCACAGCCATGACCACACCAACAGCCATGACCACACCAACAGCCATGACCACACCAACAGCCATGACTCCATCCACATCCATGACCACACCAACAGCCATGACCACACCAACAGCCATGACCCCATCCACAGCCATGACCACACCAACAGCCATGACCCCATCCACAGCCATGACCACACCAACAGCCATGACCACACCAACAGCCATGACCACACCAACAGCCATGACCACACCAACAGCCATGACCACACCAACAGCCATGACTCCATCCACATCCATGACCACACCAACAGCCATGACCACACCAACAGCCATGACCCCATCCACAGCCATGACCACACCAACAGCCATGACCCCATCCACAGCCATGACCACACCAACAGCCATGACCACACCAACAGCCATGACCACACCAACAGCCATGACCACACCAACAGCCATGACCACACCAACAGCCATGACTCCATCCACATCCATGACCACACCAACAGCCATGACCACACCAACAGCCATGACCCCATCCACAGCCATGACCACACCAACAGCCATGACCCCATCCACAGCCATGACCACACCCACAGCCATGACCACACCAACAGCCATGACCACACCAACAGCCATGACTCCATCCACAGCCATGACCCCATCCACAGCCATGACTCCATCCACAGCCATAACCCCATCCACAGCCATGACTCCATCCACAGCCATGACCACACCAACAGCCATGACCCCATCCACAGCCATGACCACACCAACAGCCATGACCACACCAACAGCCATGACCCCATCCACAGCCATGACTCCATCCACAGCCATAACTCCATCCACAGCCATGACCCCATCCACAGCCATGACCCCATCCACAGCCATAACCCCATCCACAGCCATAACCCCATCCACAGCCATGACCCCATCCACAGCCATGACCCCATCCACAGCCATGACCCCATCCACAGCCATGACCCCATCCACAGCCATGACCCCATCCACAGCCATGACCCCATCCACAGCCGTGACCCCATCCACAGCCATGACCCCATCCACAGCCATGACCCCATCCACAGCCATGACCCCATCCACAGCCATAACCCCATCCACAGCCATGACCCCATCCACAGCCATGACCCCATCCACAGCCATAACCCCACCCACAGCCATGACCACACCCACAGCCATGACCACACCAACAGCCATGACT